CAAAAGACAACCATAAGGAATTCTGCAAATATTTGCAGTTTACAAGTAAAGAGAGTTGTGGATTTTTACAGCCCTTTGGGTGCAATGCTAACTGTCGCTTTCATATCACAGAGCTTTGACTCCTACCACACCTGTGATTTTAGTTTTAGTCTACTGACAAATTCAATGATACTTCTATTTGGATGTAGCTGTGCAGTACAAGGACGAGTCCATTCTTGATGTGGGTTTACACTGGAAAGCTTTGTCCATCCTGAGCGAAGTGCCTCCGGTAGATAACAGTTTCCTTGGCATATGGTCCCATATCTAAAAAGTACACACAAAATAATAAGATCAAATATATAGCAAGACGCTAAACAAAAGTTACATTCATATTAACTCACAATGTTTACCAATTTGGAGAACACGTTGTAAATATCATGTATAGATTTATTATTTTAAAATGCAAGTTGAAAGTAAAGCCAAGCAATTCAAGATTCCTAGTATACACCGTCACTGCAGGAGGTTCCTTCAAGTTGATAGTCGCCAGCCTGATATGGTGTTGGAGTTTCCACCATTGGAGACCTGGTCGAGTTGATGGACTGGTTGTTCTTCTGGTCATCTTGCGTTACTAGTGTCTGCCATTAAACAAGAGTATAGGTTATTTGTATGATTCATCATTAAAGGAAAAGAACAGGCAACAATTTAAAGGTTATTCTGTATAACGATACTGATCACTATTGTTCTAGGCATGTTTCAAAAGTAGTCCTAAAAGTAGGAAAGTGTCTATAAATCACATGAAGTAAGTTACTTAGAAAGTTGTATTCTGCTAAAATTCTGTTCAGAATGGCAAAATGATTGGGTAACTTTAAAGAGAAGATTTCTCGAGAGAGGCCTAGCAAACTTTATTTTGGACTGACAAGTATTTTTTTATGATCAACCTTAAAATGGTGTAGATCGACCAGAAAGTCCAAACAAAATCTCTCAGTTTACAAATTGGCTTTGCTTTCTTTGATTATATTTTTTTCTCATACTTTGATAAATAAACCCCATTGAACAATGTCAAAGACATGTTGACGCGGTGTTCACTTCATGACGTGAACAGATCAGCCAGCAAAGATGATAGATATTGTCATGGAAGTGGCTAAGCATCATTTGGGAGTGTATCACCATGTCTTCACTGACAGGTTACACACCTCTGTCTCCCTAGCCCGTCGCCTCCTTGCAAAGAAGACGTACATAACTGGCACCGTCAAATCCAATAGCAAAGGGCTACGTAAAGAATTCACAACCAAAGACACCAACCTACAGCAACAAAAGATCAAGCAGATGAAGAAGACCAAGAGAGAACTTTCTGTAGCCGACAGAATTGCCAGCTTACTGAAGTCATTTGGAAAGATACCAGGGTGATGATGTTGCTCTCTTCATCACACCAAGCGTGGAGAGACCCGACCACTGATTTCCTGAAGCGTAAGGTTGTGAGTGACAAGACAGGCAAGCGGAAGGTGAAAAGTGTGTCAGCGCCCCCTCAAGCAAGGGACTACACCAAGCACATGGGAGGAGTAGACAGAGGGGACCAACTCAGGGCCTACCATACACTGTACCTGTGTGCGTAAGTCATAGTTTTGGTGACGTGGCATATTATACTTCCTCATCGACATCGCCAGAGTGAATGGGTGGATCTGTTTCAAACACCACAATCCAGCAGTTGAAGACAAGAATATCAGCAGCAGTAGCAGGGAATGCAACAGAGAGGCAGGAGATCCGGGCAGCAAGATGTCACACTCAGATTTTGTTTTGGCCGTAGCCAAAGGCCTGATTGAAGGTTATGAAGGGGGCTCAGCATCTCGCCAAACTGCAGCACAGCTGGTGTCTCTCATCAACAGCTCTACACTACTCTGTGAAGATGCCAGGGAAGAATGCTCAATGGTGTCGCTGGTGCAGACTGAACAAGAAAGTAACCAAGTCTCGTCTACCAAAGACAACACGACGAGGCTGCCCAATCTGCAGCATCAACTTATGCCCAGGGGGTAGCTTTTTGAAGTTTCACGCAGCTGCAGCACAAGAAGAGGGCACAACATCAACTGAGTAGTACCTCAGAACAAGAGTCAAGAAAAACAACAAGAAAATAGAAATGACCTTAAGAATAAAAACATAAAGATACAGATAATTAGGCCACTGATAATAGTGTGCCTGCAGTTGTTGCACCAAGACTAAGTAAAAAAAAAATGCACATAAGTTGGAAGCAGCATAAACACATTACTTGATTTTGGCAACTTTACTCAATGCTGTCTCATTGTAGTACCCTAGCAGTAACCCATCCATACCAAATCAATCAGAATTCAACAGTTTTGAGGGTGTGGAAGTTTGAAAGGTTATATACTTTTCGAGTACAGGCCATAATTACATGTAGCTCCAACATTTGACCAGGAACTGTGCTGGGGAGCGGCCGTGAGCTCACCCACGAATAAATGCCTGTGAACTCCCCCAAACTCTGATTTTCTATTGTAAGTACATTTGCTCATTTTGTTAGGTTTGTACCATCCTTTTCTAATCACAGACAATGCATAGACCCATCTGTACCAAACAGGCCAAACTGCAACTGTTGGAGTTTGCCAGGTTTAGTACTGTATGGCGTATGAGACCTGTTGGAGTTTGGCAGGTTTGGTACCAGTAACTACTGAAATTGTGCACAGCTGTTGGAGTTTGTTAGATTCAGTACTATTTCTAGTGCAAGGGCCTATGGAGTTAGGGCTAAAGAGGAAACCTACCTCTATTGGAAACCATGAGACTGCTCTTGAAGCCCTCAAATTGCCTCTCTTGTATTGTTCTTTATTAATAAATTGTAGCAGGGTCTGTTGACCATGACCTTTAACCATGCACGAGGCCAGTGCCTGTGAGTGTCATATGGGTACATGTACATGTATGCCTATAAAGATGCCTCATGTTAAACAAAGGGGTTTTGAATCAGAAAAATTGAAATGACCCAATCTTGAACTTTTCCTCCAGTTAACAATTACAGCATACCAGTACATGTACATGTATGTGGAAGAAGAGCATTAGAATAAGATGAGTTATTTTTAGCTTTGTTTATTTTGTTATTGCAGAGTACATGTACACGATTATATCAGTGGGGGTCTGTCAGAGACTCTGTTGATTGATCCAGAAAACACCCAGCATGCAGTGGACAGGGAGAGAGGGAGGACAGTGTCTGCTGTTACATGTACCCCTACAAGTTTCCATCAACCTCCTAAAGAAGGCTGGACAAGCGACTTATTCCAAGTGAGTTCGCACTTTCCAAAATCAGGAAAACGCAATTCAGTATTTGAATAATCATGAAAACTAATTCAGATCTTTATACCATGATTACAAATGTAGCAGAGATCAAATGTGAATTTGTGTAACATAAACTAATCTTGCTAATTCCTCGTTCCTTTGGATGAAATAAAATCATGGAAAAAATAACATGTTTACCAAAAATTTGTTTGAGTGAATTATTGATTAAACTAAACAAATGAAGCAATGCTAGGTAATTCACTTTGCTTGGATTGCAGGTTCCAGGTGTTGTGTCTTTTGGAGCAATGTGGCATTTTCTTGTGAACCAGCCACATTTGAAAGAGAAGGCAAAAGGATGTGGCAAGCAGTATGGAAAGGGGTATAGGCTTTATTGTTCAGGGCATGTTAAAGATATTATGTATCACCCTATGTCTGCAGTATCACCATTTATCTATCTAAAAGCAACTTTTCTTCCAACAATGACAAAATCGAAAACGTACACAAGTTATATATCAGTATGGCAATCATCTCACCATATACACTCAACATATTGTACATGCCCTGCAGGATTGGGTGGCATTTGCTGCCATGTGGCAGTATTTTTATATGTATGCTCAGATACCAGAACTTCAGGTCACACCGACCTCTATGTTTCAGAACCCTCTATATCACGTACATCCTATCCTCAACAGTGGCACTTGCCCCGTAGAAAACAAAAAGGTGATAATTTCCCAATCAGTGACGCAGTTTTTGAGAAATACGACCCCACCAAGCCAAAGAAGAGAAAACCAAATATCAGGCAATCTGACCCCAGACCAAATCACCTTCAGAGAAACAATCGTGAAAAAGATATACCAATTACGCAGTAAGCTTGAAGAGTTGAAAACAAAAGTCAAATCCAATGCATTTCTCCATGTCTTGCCATTTGCTCCATCTGTATCTGCCAGCTCATTTGATCATGACTACAAATGTACTGCATCGGAATCAACTAGAAATCCAATTCAATCCCAAAGAAACTCAATGAGCTCAGTAGCTCCTAATTCAACTGGTGCAGGAAGTTCTCAACAACTCAATATTATGCAGACTCCATAAAGACTAATGAAAGCCATGTTTGATTCAATATTTCGTTCTTTATTCAGAACATCTTCATCTTCAACAATCAACAGATTTCTTGACTGTTATATCCACCACATTTGAAATTCATTCGAAGCATAATTATTGTAAGCAACAAGAGATCCCAAAATCATCTGAAGAACTGTCCGTTGATGAAGAGTTTAAGGATAAGTGCCGTAAGTATGAGCAGGCACAGAAAGAGACAACTGAAGAATTTGAGCAAATTGAACAGTCTACCAGGGGTCAGTCAGTCAATGAAAACTGGCATAAACATAGACAGGAGAAAGTTACAGCATCTGTGGCTGGTGCCATTATCAATAGGAGGAAAACAACTCCACCTGATAATCTTCCGAGAATTAAAGGATACGACAATCGGAAATTTATTCTAAAGGCTTGACGTCATAATATGAACTTTCACTGTAGTTATGTGATATACCTTCTTATCTTTAATAGCTATTTGTTCATTCTTCTTAAGGTATTTGTCAGTTTGTTACCTTCTTTGCTTCGTACAATATGCCGGCCATGGACATGATTGCAGTACCTGTACACTCATTCTCTTATATTTCTGTGGTTTCATGAAGTTATATATTGTTACAGTAAAAAGATAATCGATGACTCGCGGTGTCGTGTTGCAACACGACACCGCGAGTCATCGATTATCTTTTTACTGTATTTGTCATCCACCGCGGTGATTATGTTTATCTCTTTTATATATTGTTTTTATTTCTCAACTTTTGTTAATGTATTATTATTAATAATTTTTGTTTGCTTAGGGTCACCAGTACGTTTTATCACTGCTTTCCTCTTTTTTTTTTAAATGTTGTTTCTGTTCATTTTTAAGTCGGGAGACTTAAGCTTCGAGGGGAGGGCCCATACATGTATCACCATGTTACAATAGCACATGTTGTATTGCTACTTAAGTTCAATGCACGTATTGACCTTCAACAATAGAACCGCTTTCCAAGTAATGAG